GCTCATTAAAGGTAAGGTGGTTTGCACCTGTCCATCAGTCTCCATCAATATTCTTGTAATTAGCACATGTAAACGCCAGTGAATATCAGATGTTTAAGCAAGTCATTTTCATGTCATTAAGTCTGTTTAGAGGACTCTGTTACCTGTGGTGACGAGTGCTGATAAGCCTGGAGTGTCTACATAATACACCTTGTCACCGTGTCAGTTTACAGCTGATTACATATCAACTACACCTCGCAAAACCCTGACTCCACCATAGCTTAACATTAAACAATATCTTATTTGAAATATTCCAATAAAAAATTAAAAACTTTGTGCATTTTGGTTTTTTTTTAATACCGGTTATTGTGGGCAAAACAAATTTTGATAAAGAATTTTAAAATCATTTTCATTGTTCCTAATTTTCAAAATAGTAGGAAGAGCACAACAGCTGAGGCCAGGTGTAGTAATACTGTGACTACCGACATGTTTCGGCCTGCTAGGCCTGCTGTTCCTAATTTTGTTTTTATAAAGTCAAGCTGAATGTGTAATGATGATATATCCGACCACTATTGTAGGAACTATTGATTATAGTCAGAAATATACCTCATGGTTTTAATAACAATGAGCATCGATCATGTATCTGGAGTGTCCACTGATTAGGGATTATATTATCACGTCCACATTACCCTGATAATGTTATGAGAACCTTAAACACTTTACCCAAGCATCTCTCTAATGTTAACCAATTAAAAGCTGTCCTTAATGCCTTTAAAATATTGCTCTTCTTTAAGTATTAATTAAAATGTTCACAGAAAAATAGGAAATAAATTTTGTAAATTTCTTTTGTATGGTTTCTTTAGCGTAAGGTATTTTATGGAGTAATGTAAAATATTTGTTGAAATTATTCTCTGCAGCAATATTTTCAAAGATCTTTCTATAGCCTGTTGTTTTAGAGGCTATTTCCATGAGTAAAGTGCTGTGTTCAAAATTTTCAAGTCTCAAAACCAAAGTTTTAATGATGGCCTTCTTTTGAGAAGTGTACAATCTGTCTTCAAATGGTGTTTGAGCTGGTTCAATGGATCTATTACATAGCATTTACTTACTGGTTGTTTCTAAAACTGAAGCTGAAAAATTAGGTTCTCTGTCCTCAGAGGTTTGCCAATGTGTATCTTTTGTTGCATATATTTCTATAATTTTGCAGAGTTAAAATTCTTTGATTACAGAAATTTGAAGAAAATAAGATAAAAGTAGTAAATGTCTGTCAAGACATGAATACCCTCACTTCCACCCATGCATAAAAGAATCGTTTTTTTGATGAATTTCAAGAATTCATTATATGTGACCCTTTACCCTTGACCAATGGCCACTTAACATAAAAAAAATGTATGTTATGGTAACATGAAGGGTAATTTTGTTTTATCAACAAAGTCTGTCAAGAGGTTCTGAAGCTATATATGACAAAATGGTGCAACAGGATATGCATATATGTGTAGAAGTTGAGAATACATTTGTGTCTGGCTAAGGACGGAAGGGTCACTAGTTTGAACCTCAGCGGTGGCAGGTTGTTTTTCATTACTTCTTCCTATTACAGATTTGGTGCTGTTGACCACTCCAAGGGTAAAAACTATAGGCAATTAAGATCCTTTCTTGGAGATATTGAACCTGGGTTGTTGTTGTCTTTTGAGTTGAAGATTTCATGAAGGAGGGAGTAGTGTGGAAATTGAGACTAAAGACTGCCTTATTAGCCTCGGCTTGTGGGAATTTTCATAAGTCAAGCAGTAGTGAGTCCGACTAGAGACTGAAGGGTTGCTAGTTCGAACCACAGCGGTGGCAGGGTTGCTTTCATTACTCATTTCTATTACATATGTACCCCCACCAACCCTCATCCACCCCCACAATAAAATGGCAGAGCCTTAGGAAAAACGATTTACAGAAAATGTCTAAGACATTGTTATTGTTTATTGACCTGATCAGACAGTGCTGATATTCAAAAATTCATAATAAAGTGCTGTAGTACACAAAGTCCTAATAGTTAGATTCTGAACAAATAAATGATTGGTCAGATTATCAAGATTGCTGTTAGTGCTCAGAATTTGATTGGCTAGATGAATGTGACATTATTTAGTTACATAAGATTTGATTGGTTATATCACAGACTAGATTTAGCTAGCAAAGGACTATATACTGTTAATATCCTGGAACATATAGATCTTATTTTGGTTTTGGAATGATAAACAGAATCTAAGACTTGTGTTAATGTGATATGAAATACTTCAAACAGCATCTTATGACAGCTTTTGTAACAGATCATTGATTAAGAAGTCATTTGATAAATGGCATGTCAGAGAACGATTAGCATGAGACCCTTTATATAAACTGTGAACACATTCTTCTTCATTTACTTCCTACATAATATATAAGTGTTCAGCACTAATTTAGTCTGCCAAGACATTCTCCTTTCAAGCTTTAGATTTTAAAGAAATTTGTCTATTTCCATGGAAACGTTTCATTGATTGAGTGCTTTGTTTAATTTTACATATAATTGCTTAGTAACTACAGCCTCGGAGGTGTTAGAATGCTGTGTTGTTTTGGATGGTGGCCTCGTTAAATCGTCCCCGTGCTATAGCTGAAAGCCCTTACCCACAAAATTGCGAGATAGTAACCTTGTTACCTCTACAACGTTACATTCTACACATTCCTTCTGTCATTGCTTCACTTGTATTTCCTAGCTTATACAATACAACCTGTACTTTTAATTTCATCATTTTGTAAAAACAGACTTAAAACAATTTTGTTAAGTTTCTTAAAAGCCCATTCGGCTGCATGTACATCGAAGCAATGGTTGACAAACTTGTCGGCGTTAATAACAAAGCGCCGAAACTTATTGATTAACTGGTCCCACCAGGTGGCACTAATGAAGAATTATGGGATAGCCGAGTGCCGTGAATAGACTGGGAGAACAGAGGGGCGAATCATTACAGGAGACGAACCTAAGATGCATTGCCTCGCGAAGTGCAATGTTAGGGCCAAACATGCTGGTTTCTTCACTGTGGCACTATTGATTGAGGGAAAAACAGCTAGAATCTTCATCTATACATCAGGGATGTGTTAATTAGCATGACTTAAGCCGATACAGACCCCAACAAGAAACAGCACACTAGAAATATTTTAATAGAAATATCAACATTTGAATAACAAGAAATTGAGGAAAAGTTTATACTATGGAATATCTGAAACAATAGAGGGAAAATGTCTTCCAACAAAATGCCTCAAACACATTGTAGTTAATAATAGAAAAATATCTTTTAGCAAAAAGTCTTGAGCAGTTTTTTTATAATAAAAATTATTTTACAGCTAAAAGTATGGATAAAAAGTCTGTAATAGGAAAATATCTCACCTCAGAAAGTATGGAGAAATTGCCTATTGTAGGAAAATATCTCAGGTCAGAAAGTGTGGAGAAATTGTCTATTGTAGGAAAATATCTCATGTCAGAAAGTGTGGAGAAATTGTCTATTGTAGGAAAATATCTCACGTCGGAAAGTATGGAGAAATTGCCTATTGTAGGAAAATATCTCACGTCAGAAAGTGTGGAGAAATTGTCTATTGTCAGAAAGTGTGGAGAAATTGTCTATTGTAGGAAAATATCTCACGTCAGAAAGTGTGGAGAAATTGTCTATTGTCAGAAAGTGTGGAGAAATTATCTATTGTAGGAAAATATCTCATGTCAGAAAGTGTGGAGAAATTGTCTATTGTAGGAAAATATCTCGCGTCAGAAAGTGTGGAGAAATTGTCTATTGTAGGAAAATATCTCACGTCAGAAAGTGTGGAGAAATTGTCTATTGTAGGAAAATATCTCATGTCAGAAAGTGTGGAGAAATTGTCTATTGTAGGAAAATATCTCGTGTCAGAAAGTGTGGAGAAATTGTCTATTGTAGGAAAATATCTCAGAAAGTGTGGAGAAATTATCTATTGTAGGAAAATATCTCATGTCAGAAAGTGTGGAAAGTATGGAGAAATTGCCTATTGTAGGAAAATATCTCACATCAGAAAGTGTGGAGAAATTGTCTATTGTCAGAAAGTGTGGAGAAATTGTTTATTGTAGGAAAATATCTCATGTCAGAAAGTGTGGAGAAATTGTCTATTGTAGGAAAATATCTCACGTCAGAAAGTATGGAGAAATTGTCTATTGTAGGAAAATATCTCACGTCGGAAAGTATGGAGAAATTGTCTATTGTCAGAAAGTATGGAGAAATTGTCTAGAAATTGTCTATTGTAGAAAATATCTCACGTCAGAAAGTGTGGAGAAATTGTCTATTGTCAGAAAGTGTGGAGAAATTGTCTATTGTAGGAAAATATCTCACGTCAGAAAGTATGGAGAAATTGTCTATTGTCAGAAAGTGTGGAGAAATTGTCTATTGTCAGAAAGTGTGGAGAAATTGTCTATTGTCAGAAAGTGTGGAGAAATTGTCTATTGTCAGAAAGTATGGAGAAATTGTCTATTGTCAGAAAGTGTGGAGAAATTGTCTATTATAGGAAAATATCTCACGTCAGAAAGTGTGGAGAAATTGTCTATTGTCAGAAAGTGTGGAGAAATTGTCTATTGTAGGAAAATATCTCATGTAAGAAAGTGTGGAGAAATTGTCTATTGTCAGAAAGTGTGGAGAAATTGTCTATTGTCAGAAAGTATGGAGAAATTGTCTATTGTCAGAAAGTATGGAGAAATTGTCTATTGTAGGAAAATATCTCAGGTCATGCTTGAACAACTTGCTTACAACTACAAATTTCTGTATGGATATAATTTCACAAAATATATGGTTGTGACTTCTTTTTGATCATGAATTTCAAAAGGTATTTGCATATGAAAGACCATTGGTGAAAAGAACTATATTCTTTATCTATAATTGTCATTACTTAGGAAAGGAATAAATGAACTAGAGAAAAAAAGAAACAAATTCTTAGTGCAATCACACTGACCTCATTTTACTGTCTAACTCTCTATCGCGTTTGTATGCTTTCAGGAAATTGTTGACACAGATGGAAAACCAAAAATCAAATCATTCCGCATTCCAACATTTGGACAGAGCTCTGTGTACCATGAGGTAAGTGTTCTCAATCTGTACCTAACAACCTGCCTTAAATCTAGCCTGAATTGCAGATTATCTTCCTTAGTTCTAATCTTCATAGTTTAATATCTCCCTTTGATCTAAAAAGTGATACAAATTATTTCTCTTTGATCAAGACTGTATGAATGATTATCTCCTTAAAATGTAACTGTATAATGAATTATCTCTCTTAGACATGTGTGTGTTATAAATTATCTCCTTAAGATGTAACTGTATAATAGATTGTCTTCCTTAAATTAGCTATATTATAAATCATCTCCCTTAGATATACCTGCTTTATAAATTATCTCCCTTAGATGTAGCTGTATTATAAATGATCTCCCTTAGATGTAGCTGTAGGTGATGTTATAAATTATCTCCCTTAGACATAGCTGTATTATAAATGATCTCACATAAGTGTAGCTGTAGTTATAAGTTATGAATTATCTCCCTTAGATGTAGCTGTAGTTATAAGTTATGAATTATCTCCCTTAGATGTAGCTGTAGTTATAAGTTATGAATTATCTCCCTTAGATGTAGCTGTAGTTATAAGTTATGAATTATCTCCCTTAGATGAAGCTGTAGTTATAAGTTATGAATTATCTCCCTTACATGTAGCTATAGTTACAAGTTATGAATTATCTCACTTAGATGTAGCTGTGGTTACAACTTATGAATTATCTCCCATTGATCTAGCCTGTATTACTTGTTATATCCCATTGATCTGTTCTGTATATAAAAGGATTACCTTCCCTACATGTTATCTATATAACTTGTTATCTCCCTTGGGTGTATTCTCTGATTTTATAGTCCCAAGTGATAAGTTATCTCCCTTATATCTTGTCTCACCAGTCTTTATTGTTGAGTTCCTATGTCTGTCAAAAGTTAATGTCATTATGTTTTACAGTCAAGTTTGCCCTGAAAAATATGAACTTGAGAGAACATCTTCGAGAAAAATGTCTGGATGACAAAGAAAAATGATCACAATAATTGTGGTGATGGGCACCAAGAGCCATCTGATTTCTTGTTCAAAGAAATAAATGTTTTTGATAATATTTCACAGGACTGACAAGATATATTTGTTATGATTTGTAAATGCCCCGGAGAAGATTCAGGTCGTATTTTTCAAAATCAAGTATTTTTGAGTGATGAGCATACAGCCATTAGCTGTGTTATGGGCTTCCTGTGTGTGTGTATGGCAGATTTATCAACTCTGCTGCTCATAATATTGTTAGGATAAATCATCCAGAGATTACAATATCTTCAGTATCGATCAAGTGTTTACTTATACATTCTGTCAGTGATGTATTAGAGTTATCTCCCTTCTGCAATGATCAACACTGAATGTTTGCTGTAGGGTTCATTTTAACATACAAATCTTAATTAATATACCTTAATGTGTCTTCTTGTGAAAAATCAGACTTAAACAGGCCTCAGATTGGTCCGAATAGGTACGAATAGGTAATTAGAGAATATACCTTAATGTGTCTTCTTGTGAAAAATCAGACTTAAACAGGCCTCAGATTGGTCCGAATAGGTACGAATAGGTAATTAGAGAATATACCTTAATGTGTCTTCTTGTGAAAAATCAGACTTAAACAGGCCTCAGATTGGTCCGAATAGGTAATTAGAGAATATACCTTAATGTGTCTTCTTGTGAAAAATCAGACTCAAACAGGCCTCAGAATGGTCCGAATAGGTAATCAGTTAATGTTATGAATATGTTGATTTCAATTATCATACTTATAATGAAGTCCAATTTCAGAGGATATGAAAAATGATATGGATAACTCGGGCCAGAAACAAATACAACTTACACAATGATCATACAGGCCCATAGCATACCATTATTCTTGCATATATGTCAGAGACTACAGGAAAAAAAAACATTCACAAATTTCTGACTTTTTTTTTTGTACAATATAGATCTGTCATTACTAATTTAGTATGAGAGTTTTAGAACAGTGTTATAGTCAATGCCTGTGGATAGTCTAAATTTGTGGTACTGCAGTGCTGATGTGCATGCAGTCTTTCCTCAATTTGCAAACTTGTTTGCATGAGAAAATACTGTAATCATTTGTGGCACACAGTAACTGTTACATGATCAACCAATTCTTCAAGTCACATTGCTGTGCACATGTTTTTAAATCGAATGTTGATTAAAATATGAAACGCCCCCAAGCTTATCGACTGTCTTCAGTCGATAAAGTAGGAGTAGATTACGTCAGTCTACCAAACCCGGTTATATCTCTTAAACATTGGCATATTCAGTATTCAATCTCAGAAATTTTTGCAATTTTATCATGAAATGGTACTGATGTTTGAAAGAAGAAAATTGTTCCGACAGAATTCTTTTTCTTCAAGATTTTTCAATATCCAGCAATATCTCTGACTCACAGATGTTTTTGTATAAATTAATAATCCTGATGATGGGCCTGTGAAAGCATAAAAGCAGGTGTTGGCTTCAAAAGTACAATTGGACATGAGTTTATTATAGGGTTTTTTCCCCAGCAGATGGACCCAGGCACATTCCAACTTGATACATTAATGTCAGGATGAGTTTTCTAGACTTCATTACATTATGTTATGACCTGTGACACGATAGCAGTAATCTGATTAAGTGCCCTTTATCTGATCATCACAGAGCTTCAAATTCTGTCTCATTTAATGCAGAATTACCTGATTTAATGGAAATCTCTCACCTTTTAATGTGAGGTGAGTTTAAGAATTATTCACAGAGAAATTGCTTACCAAGGGATTTCAATCTACTGATTACATCCTATTTTGGTCAGAATTATTTTGAGTTTTCTATTTTCTTTGTCTGAAATTTAGATGTAACTTATTGGAAAAAATTTCTTAGTTTATTTGTGAAATTAAAAAACAAAATTTAAATTGCTTGACCAGCTGAAAAGACAATGGAAGGTGTTTATTTCTTAAAGAAACATAAATAAATTTTAACAAGGATTTAAGTTTTGAAAACATAGATACATGCAGCTGCAGATTGAAGAATATTGGCAAGTGTATCACAAAAATGGATTAAAACTGCAAAGAATTATGGGAACATGTTTTTAGAAGTAATAATGGATTAATTTAGACCATGAAGTTGATTCATATGATACTATGCCAGACTGTCTATACCAGTGATTGAAACACCATTCCATTTCCTTTGGTTAAGCCAGAGACCTGTGTTTGAGAAATTGTCCAACCAGTTTTTGTCATTTATGTGACCTTATGACTGAGATAATTAAATTTCTTCTTTAAATCCTAACATAATCTATGGTCTCTGATCATTTTTCTTTCACAGTCTAAAACTTTGTAATGCTGGTAGAAAAACTCAACATGTTTCCGTGTGAAACTTTCATACACAAACAGGGTTGTTCACTGAAGGTAGTGGTGTCCATATTAAACACAAGCTTGTTGTTTCTGTAAAATGTCTCCTAATACATTAAAAAGGAGTTTGTTAAAATTAAATTTCTGAGTTAAGGATTAGGGACAAGGCCAAAAATGTGAATGCATACTAGCCTTACAAATATTTTGTGTTCCTGTAATATGTACAAACAACAGGATAAGCAGAGAGATTTTTTTGTTAACCATCTTATAAAGTATTTCTGAAATCCAAGTTTTGTTTATTTTTTTACACAGCCCGTCAGCTTGGGGAGTCTCGCTCTCACAGAAAGTGTGTTGTCACGATATAACCAGACTGAAGCTAAGATATGGCAGTCCGGACCTTTCCCACAATATGAGTCAATAAACAGTCAGAACAGGTAAACAAATGTGTTGGTGAGCGGGTTTTGAGGGCGGTTGTGGGTATGGAGGTTTAAGGGAAGGGTTGTTCGTGGGGTTAAGGACAGTGTTGTAGGAAGGGTTTTAGGTGGGGTTGAGAGCAGGTTTGTGAGTGAGGTTTAGGGTAGGGTTGTGGGGAGGGTTGTGGGTGGGGTTGAGACGAGGGTTGTGGTTGGGGTTTAGGATGCGGTTGTGGGGAGGGTTGTGGGTGGGGTTGAGACGAGGGTTGTGGTTGGGGTTTAGGATGCGGTTGTGGGGAGGGTTTTAGGTGGGGTTGAGAGCAGGGTTGTGAGTGAGGTTTAGGGTAGGGTTGTGGGGAGGGTTGTGGGTGGGGTTGAGACGAGGGTTGTGGTTGGGGTTTAGGATGCGGTTGTGGGGAGGGTTTTAGGTGGGGTTGAGAGCAGGGTTGTGAGTGAGGTTTAGGGTAGGGTTGTGGGGAGGGTTGTGGGTGGGGTTGAGACGAGGGGTGTGGTTGGGGTTTAGGATGCGGTTGTGGGGAGGGTTGTGGGTGGGATTGAGAGCAGGGTCATGTTGAGGGTTGTGGGTGGGATTGAGAGCAGGGTCATGTTGAGGGTTGTTGGTGGGGTTAAGGGCTGGAGTTAATGAGGAAGTCAAGAGACCAAGGATTTTGAACCCAATAAAACAATAAGTGAGAAGTAAGCAGGGAAAAGTTTGATAAAAAGGAAGTGAAAGAAAAGGCAGATGGAAGGCTTATGGGTTAGAAAGAGAAGATTAGAAAGAAAGAAATAAAAGAAATTTTTCAGATATATTTGTGACTTTGATGTACACACAAATATGTACATCAAAGTCACGAATATAACCGAGATCTCTTCCTGTTTCAATAAGAGAAAACATAGTTGGAAACTTTGGCACACAGCAAGAATCTATATTACCTTGGAAATCAATTAGAAACAACGTATTTAAATGTAATGAACTTTACCATTTCTCGATGGAACATAAGCTACGTGTAATGTAATCAAACAAGAAGCAGAAGACATAACTGGAGCAGCGAAGCACACCTTAAACAGTAATTGAATGTGTGATTGCCTAGCCACAGGAAACCTCATTGACTTGGTATCAGAGTCAGATTGAACAAACAAATTTCATTAACTTTGTCTCGATCAGGTGATCTGTCGTAGTCATATTTCATCAGAGACAACTATTGGTTGTTTGTGAACAGGGAAATGGTCTCTCTCCATCATCAATGACAACTACTGGTGGTTTGTGTACAAGGAAGTAGGTCTCTCTACGTCATCAGTGACAACTACTGGTGGTTTGTGTACAGGGAAGTAGGTCTCTCTATGTCATCAGTGACAACTATTCGTTGTTTGTGAACAGGGAAGTAAGTCTCTCTCCATCATCAGTGACAACTATTGGTTGTTTGTGAACAGGGAAGTAGGTCTCCATCCATCATCTGTGACAACTATTTGTCATTTCAGAACAGGGAAGTAGGTCTCTCTCCGTCATCAGTGACAGCTATTGGACGTTTGTGAAAGGGGATGAAGGTTTCTCTCCATCTTCAATGATAACTATTGGTTGTTTGTGAACAGGGAAGTGGTCTCTCTCCATCTTCAATGACAACTACTGGTGGTTTGTGTACAGGGAAGTAGGTCTCTCTCCATCATCAGTGACAGCTATTGGACGTTTGTGAAAGGGGATGAAGGTTTCTCTCCATCTTCAATGACAACTATTGGTTGTTTGTGAACAGGGAAGTGGTCTCTTTCCATCTTCAATGACAACTACTGGTGGTTTGTGTACAGGGAAGTAGGTCTCTCTCCATCATCAGTGACAACTATTGGTTGTTTATGAACAGGGAAGTAGGTCTCTCTCCATCATCAGTGACAACTATTGGTTGTTTGTGAACAGGGAAGTAGGTCTCTCTCCATCTTCAATGACAACTACTGGTGGTTTGTGTACAGGGAAGTAGGTCTCTCTCCATCATCAGTGACAACTATTGGTTGTTTGTGAAAGGGGATGAAGGTTTCTCTCCATCTTCAATGACAACTATTGGTTGTTTGTGAACAGGGAAGTGGTCTCTCTCAATCTTCAAGGACAACTATTGGTGGTTTGTGTACAGGGAAGTAGGTCTCTCTCCATCATCAGTAACAACTATTGGTTGTTTATGAACAGGGAAGTAGGTCTCTCTCCATCATCAGTGACAACTATTGGTTGTTTGTGAACAGGGAAGTAGGTCTCTCTCCGTCATCAGTGACAGCTATTGGACGTTTGTGAAAGGGGATGAAGGTTTCTCTCCATCTTCAAAGACAACTATTGGTTGTTTGTGAACAGGGAAGTAGGTCTCTTTCCATCTTCAATGACAACTACTGGTTGTTTATGAACAGGGAAGTAGGTCTCCCTCCATCATCAGTAACAACTATTGGTTGTTTATGAACAGGGAAGTAGGTCTCTCTCCATCATCTGTGACAACTATTTGTCATTTGAGAACAGGGAAGTAGGTCTCTCTCCATCATCAGTGACAACTATTGGTTGTTTGTGAACAGGGAAGTAGGTCTCTCTCCATCATCAGTGACAGCTATTGGACGTTTGTGAGAGGGGATGAAGGTTTCTCTCCATCTTCAATGACAACTATTGGTTGTTTGTGAACAGGGAATTAGGTCTCTCTCCATCATCTGTGACAACTATTTGTCATTTGAGAACAGGGAAGTAGGTCTCTCTCCGTCATCAGTGACAACTATTGGTTGTTTATGAACAGGGAAGTAGGTCTCTCTCCATCATCAGTGACAACTATTGGTTGTTTGTGAACAGGGAAGTGGTCTCTCTCCATCTTCAATGACAACTACTGGTGGTTTGTGTACAGGGAAGTAGGTCTCTCTCCATCATCAGTGACAGCTATTGGACGTTTGTGAAAGGGGATGAAGGTTTCTCTCCACAGCAACTATTGGACGTTTGTGAAAGGGGATGAAGGTTTCTCTCCATCTTCAATGACAACTACTGGTGGTTTGTGTACAGGGAAGTAGGTCTCTCTCCATCATCAGTGACAACTATTGGTTGTTTATGAACAGGGAAGTAGGTCTCTCTCCATCATCAGTGACAACTATTGGTTGTTTGTGAACAGGGAAGTAGGTCTCTCTCCATCTTCAATGACAACTACTGGTGGTTTGTGTACAGGGAAGTAGGTCTCTCTCCATCATCAGTGACAACTATTGGTTGTTTGTGAAAGGGGATGAAGGTTTCTCTCCATCTTCAATGACAACTATTGGTTGTTTGTGAACAGGGAAGTGGTCTCTCTCAATCTTCAAGGACAACTATTGGTGGTTTGTGTACAGGGAAGTAGGTCTCTCTCCATCATCAGTAACAACTATTGGTTGTTTATGAACAGGGAAGTAGGTCTCTCTCCATCATCAGTGACAACTATTGGTTGTTTGTGAACAGGGAAGTAGGTCTCTCTCCGTCATCAGTGACAGCTATTGGACGTTTGTGAAAGGGGATGAAGGTTTCTCTCCATCTTCAATGACAACTATTGGTTGTTTGTGAACAGGGAAGTAGGTCTCTTTCCATCTTCAATGACAACTACTGGTTGTTTATGAACAGGGAAGTAGGTCTCTCTCCATCATCTGTGACAACTATTTGTCATTTGAGAACAGGGAAGTAGGTCTCTCTCCATCATCAGTGACAACTATTGGTTGTTTGTGAACAGGGAAGTAGGTCTCTCTCCATCATCAGTGACAGCTATTGGACGTTTGTGAGAGGGGATGAAGGTTTCTCTCCATCTTCAATGACAACTATTGGTTGTTTGTGAACAGGGAATTAGGTCTCTCTCCATCATCTGTGACAACTATTTGTCATTTGAGAACAGGGAAGTAGGTCTCTCTCCGTCATCAGTGACAGCTATTGGACGTTTGTGAAAGGGGATGAAGGTTTCTCTCCTTCTTCAATGACAACTATTGGTTGTTTGTGAACAGGGAAGTGGTCTCTCTCCATCTTCAATGACAACTACTGGTGGTTTGTGTACAGGGAAGTAGGTCTCTCTCCATCATCAGTGACAGCTATTGGGCGTTTGTGAAAGGGGATGAAGGTTTCTCTCCATCTTCAATGACAACTATTGGTTGTTTGTGAACAGGGAAGTGGTCTCTTTCCATCTTCAATGACAACTACTGGTGGTTTGTGTACAGGGAAGTAGGTCTCTCTCCATCATCAGTGACAACTATTGGTTGTTTGTGAACAGGGAAGTAGGTCTCTCTCCGTCATCAGTGACAACTATTGGTTGTTTGTGAACAGGGAAGTAGGTCTCTCTCCGTCATCAGTGACAACCATTGGTCATTTGTGAACAGGGAAGTAAGTCTCTCTCCGTCATCAGTGACAACTATTGGTTGTTTATGAACTGGGAAGTAGGTCTCTCTCCGTCATCAGTGACAACTATTGGTTGTTTGTGAACAGGGAAGTAGGTCTCCATCCATCATCAGTGACAACTATTGGTTGTTTGTGAACAGGGAAGTTGGGTCTCTCTCCATCATCAGTAACAACTACTGGTCATTTGTGAACAGGGAAGTAGGTCTCTTTCCATCATCAGTAACAACTACTGGTCATTTGTGAACAGGGAAGTAGGTCTCTCTCCATCATCAGTGACAACTATTGGTTGTTTGTGAACAGGGAAGTAGGTCTCTCTCCATCATCAGTGACAACTATTGGTTGTTTGTGAAAGGGGATGAAGGTTTCTCTCCATCTTCAATGACAACTATTGGTTGTTTGTGAACAGGGAAGTGGTCTCTCTCCATCTTCAATGACAACTATTGGTGGTTTGTGTACAGGGAAGTAGGTCTCTCTCCATCATCAGTGACAACTATTGGTTGTTTATGAACAGGGAAGTAGGTCTCTCTCCATCATCAGTGACAACTATTGGTTGTTTGTGAACAGGGAAGTAGGTCTCTCTCCGTCATCAGTGACAACCATTGGTCATTTGTGAACAGGGAAATAAGTCTCTCTCCATCATCAGTGACAACTATTGGTTGTTTATGAACAGGGAAGTAGGTCTCTCTCCATCATCTGTGACAACTATTTGTCATTTGAGAACAGGGAAGTAGGTCTCTCTCCATCATCAGTGACAACTATTGGTTGTTTGTGAACAGGGAAGTAGGTCTCTCTCCATCATCAGTGACAGCTATTGGACGTTTGTGAGAGGGGATGAAGGTTTCTCTCCATCTTCAATGACAACTATAGGTTGTTTGTGAACAGGGAATTAGGTCTCTCTCCATCATCTGTGACAACTATTTGTCATTTGAGAACAGGGAAGTAGGTCTCTCTCCGTCATCAGTGACAGCTATTGGACGTTTGTGAAAGGGGATGAAGGTTTCTCTCCATCTTCAATGACAACTATTGGTTGTTTGTGAACAGGGAAGTGGTCTCTCTCCATCTTCAATGACAACTATTGGTGGTTTGTGTACAGGGAAGTAGGTCTCTCTCCATCATCAGTGACAACTATTGGTTGTTTGTGAACAGGGAAGTAGGTCTCTCTCCATCATCAGTGACAGCTATCATCAGTGACAGCTATTGTTTGTGAAAGGGGATGAAGGTTTCTCTCCATCTTCAATGACAACTATTGGTTGTTTGTGAACAGGGAAGTGGTCTCTTTCCATCTTCAATGACAACTACTGGTGGTTTGTGTACAGGGAAGTAGGTCTCTCTCCATCATCAGTGACAACTATTGGTTGTTTGTGAACAGGGAAGTAGGTCTCTCTCCGTCATCAGTGACAACTATTGGTTGTTTGTGAACAGGGAAGTAGGTCTCTCTCCGTCATCAGTGACAACCATTGGTCATTTGTGAACAGGGAAGTAAGTCTCTCTCCGTCATCAGTGACAACTATTGGTTGTTTATGAACTGGGAAGTAGGTCTCTCTCCATCACCAATGACAACTATTGGTTGTTTGTGTACAGGGAAGTAGGTCTCTCTCCGTCATCAGTGACAACTATTGGTTGTTTGTGAACAGGGAAGTAGGTCTCCATCCATCATCAGTGACAACTATTGGTTGTTTGTGAACAGGGAAGTTGGGTCTCTCTCCATCATCAGTAACAACTACTGGTCATTTGTGTACAGGGAAGTAGGTCTCTTTCCATCATCAGTAACAACTACTGGTCATTTGTGAACAGGGAAGTAGGTCTCTTTCCATCATCAGTAACAACTACTGGTCATTTGTGAACAGGGAAGTAGGTCACTCTCCATCGTCAGTGACAACTATTGGTTGTTTGTGAACAGGGAAGTAGGTCTCTCTCCATCATCAGTGACAACTATTGGTTGTTTGTGAAAGGGGATGAAGGTTTCTCTCCATCTTCAATGACAACTATTGGTTGTTTGTGAACAGGGAAGTGGTCTCTCTCAATCTTCAAGGACAACTATTGGTGGTTTGTGTACAGGGAAGTAGGTCTCTCTCCATCATCAGTGACAACTATTGGTTGTTTATGAACAGGGAAGTAGGTCTCTCTCCATCATCAGTGACAACTATTGGTTGTTTGTGAACAGGGAAGTAGGTCTCTCTCCGTCATCAGTGACAACCATTGGTCATTTGTGAACAGGGAAATAAGTCTCTCTCCGTCATCAGTGACAACTATTGGTTGTTTATGAACTGGGAAGTAGGTCTCTCTCCATCACCAATGACAACTATTGGTTGTTTGTGTACAGGGAAGTAGGTCTCTCTCCGTCATTAGTGACAACTATTGGTTGTTTGTGTACAGGGAAGTAGGTCTCCATCCATCATCAGTGACAACTATTGGTTGTTTGTGAACAGGGAAGTAGGTCTCTCTCCATCATCAGTAACAACTACTGGTCATTTGTGAACAGGGAAGTAGGTCTCTTTCCATCATCAGTAACAACTACTGGTCATTTGTGAACAGGGAAGTAGGTCTCTTTCCATCATCAGTAACAACTACTGGTCATTTGTGAACAGGGAAGTAGGTCACTCTCCATCGTCAGTGACAACTATTGGTTGTTTGTGAACAGGGAAGTAGGTCTCTCTCCATCTTCAATGACAACTACTAGTGGTTTGTGTACAGGGAAGTAGGTCTCTCTCCATCATCAGTGACAACTATTGGTTGTTTTTGAACAGGGAAGTAGGTCTCTCTCCGTCATCAGTGACAACCATTTGGCATTTGTGTACAGGGAAGTAGGTCTCTCTCCATCATCAGTGACAACTATTGGTTGTTTGTGAACAGGGAAGTAGGTCTCTCTCCATCATCAGTGACAACCATTTGTCATTTGTGAACAGGGAAGTAGGTCTCTCTACATCATCAGTGACAACTATTTGTTGTTTGTGAACAGGGAAGTAGGTCTCCCTCCATCATCAGTGACAACTATTGGTTGTTTGTGAACAGGGAAGTAGGTCTCCCTCCATCATCAGTTACAACTATTGGTTGTTTGTGAACAGGGAAGTAGATCTCTCTCTGTCATCAGTGACAGCTATTGGTTGTTTGTGAACAGGGAAGTAGATCTCTCTCTGTCATCAGTGACAGCTATTGGTTGTTTGAACAGGGAAGTAGGTCTCCCTCCATCATCAGTGACAACTATTGGTTGTTTGTGAACAGGGAAGAAGGTCTCCCTCCATCATCAGTTACAACTATTGGTTGTTTGTGAACAGGGAAGTAGATCTCTCTCTGTCATCAGTGACAGCTATTGGTTGTTTGAACAGGGAAGTAGGTCTCCCTCCATCATCAGTGACAACTATTGGTTGTTTGTGAACAGGGAAGAAGGTCTTCCTCCATCATCAGTTACAACTATTGGTTGTTTGTGAACAGGGAAGAAGGTCTTCCTCCATCATCAGTGACAACTATTGGTTGTTTGTGAACAGGGAAGAAGGTCTTCCTCCATCATCAGTTACAACTATTGGTTGTTTGTGAACAGGGAAGTAGATCTCTCTCTGTCATCAGTGACAGCTATTGGTTGTTTGAACAGGGAAGTAGGTCTCCCTCCATCATCAGTGACAACTATTGGTTGTTTGTGAACAGGGAAGAAGGTCTTCCTCCATCATCAGTTACAACTATTGGTTGTTTATGAACAGGGAAGAAGGTCTTCCTCCATCATCAGTGACAACTATTGGTTGTTTGTGAACAGGGAAGAAGGTCTTCCTCCATCATCAGTTACAACTATTGGTTGTTTGTGAACAGGGAAGTAGGTCTCCCTCCATCATCCGTGACAACTATTGGTTGTTTATGAACAGGGAAGTAGGTCTCCCTCCATCATCCGTGACAACTATTGGTTGTTTATGAACAGGGAAGTAGGTCTCCCTCCATCATCCGTGACAACTATTGGTTGTTTATGAACAGGGAAGTAGGTCTCCCTCCATCATCCGTGACAACTATTGGTTGTTTATGAACAGGGAAGTAGGTCTCCCTCCATCATCCGTGACAACTATTGGTTGTTTATGAACAGGGAAGTAGGTCTCCCTCCATCATCCGTGACAACTATTGGTTGTTTATGAACAGGGAAGTAGGTCTCTCTCCGTCATCCGTGACAACTATTGGTTGTTTATGAACAGGGAAATAGATCACTTTACGTCATCAGTGTATAATGTTTTATAAAACATGGAAAATGAAATATCATTTTTTCTCGTACTTAGATTTAAGAAGTCGGTTTATATGGTTAGATAATATAAAACCGAACATTGAGGAACACAAGCTGTTTAATATTTTGTCAGTGGTTGTTTGACTTTGTCATGAATGTTTTGCTGAAGGGAAGGTTGGTTGAGGATGACAATTACAATATATAACTAAATGAAAATAGATCTGTGTGATTTAGATTAAGTTGTCTATATAACTGTGTTTCAGACAAGGAATTCTAGCCTACCTCATACAGTGCTATAATGTTGACGTGGCCAATTTGTCCCCAGTATCGCATCAAATGATGTGTAAAGCATGCTCTAGGTAAGACAACTAAAAGGTAGGGAGTCACAGTTATCACCCAGTACTTCTCCCTCAGATATTACAAGGTAGAGGGTCACAGTTATCACCCAGTACTTCTCCCTCAGATATTACAAGGTAGAGGGTCACAGTTATCACCCAGTACTTCTCCCTCAGATATTACAAGGTAGAGGGTCACAGTTATCACCCAGTACTTCTCCCTCAGATATTACAAGGTAGAGGGTCACAGTTATCACCCAGTACTTCTCCCTCAGATATTACAAGGTAGGGGGTCACAGTTATCACCCAGTACTTCTCCCACAGATATTACAAGGTAGGGAGTCACAGTTATCACCCAGTATTTCTCCCTCAGATATTAAAAGGTAGAGGGTCACAGTTATCACCCAGTACTTCTCCCTCAGATATTACAAGGTAGGGGGTCACAGTTATCACCCAGTACATCTCCCTCAGATATTACAAGGTAGGGAGTCACAGTTATCACCCAGTACTTCTCCCTCAGATATTACAAGGTAGGGAGTCACAGTTATCACCCAGTACCTCTCCCTCAGATATTACAAGGTAGGGAGTCACAGTTATCACCCAGTACCTCTCCCTCAGATATTACAAGGTAGGGAGTCACAGTTATCACCCAGTACCTCTCCCTCAGATATTACAAGGTAGGGGGTCACAGTTATCACCCAGTACCTCTCCCTCAGATATTACAAGGTAGGGAGTCACAGTTATCACCCAGTACTTCTCCCTCAGATATTACAAGGTAGGGAGTCACAGTTATCACCCAGTACCTCTCCCTCAGATATTACAAGGTAGGGAGTCACAGTTATCACCCAGTACCTCTCCTTCAGATATTACAAGGTAGGGGGTCACAGTTATCACCCAGTACCTCTCCCTCAGATATTAAAAGGTAGGGAGTCACAGTTATCACCCAGTACTTCTCCCTCAGATATTAAAAGGTAGGGGGTCACAGTTATCACCCAGTACCTCTCCCTCAGATATTAAAAGGTAGGGAGTCACAGTTATCACCCAGTACTTCTCCCACAGATATTAAAAGGTAGAGGGTCACAGTTATCACCCAGTACTTCTCCCTCAGATTTTATACGTTAGGGGATTGCTCACACTCATTCCAAGCATTATTAACTTATAATCTATGAACAAAAAATACCATGAAATCAGTAAATCCCTGACTGTTGGGCTATCAATGGAATCTATTATCATTTTTCTATTATCGTAAAATTAAGACAGGAAACCACTGTTCAAAATGTTAAAATTGATAAAGTTTTGAAAGTTTTATTAAAGGAAAAATCATCAGTAGTTAGTGGGAGTGAAAAATCAAATCCAAAAAAATTTATCTTGAATGACATACAAAAAATATGCCGTAATTAAGGCCATGATGTGGCTGACACCTAATTTTTGTTACACACATATTACATGACATTGTAATATCACCTGTGGTGAATTGTCCAACCTGTCATTAATGGGTAGTACCTAACAGTATACACATATCAAGAAATAAGTAAGAATACTGTGGGTCTTTTTGTCAGAATTGCCACTACTGGTTTCACAAACCTGCATCAGTTAGAGGAAGATGAAGGCCAACCGCTAGCTAGCTTCCGGATAGGAGAGGAAAGGTCAAAGGGCAAACGAAGGAGCCAAGTAGGAGAACTTCCCCCAAGGATCCCTGTTAGCCCCGCTCTTCTTGTGGAGATGCTCTCAGGAATATACTATATCATGTAAGTTGAAACCCAAAGGGAGATAATCAAATTATCTTTCCTTGTAAAATAGTCATCCTCTCATTAATCGGGGAAATATCTTATCTAGCCTTGATGTATATTGCTACTGGCAGTCAATGATTTTATTTAAAGATCATTTGATAGAACTTGAAGATGATTTTGACAGAACACGATTTGTGATGATCAGGACTTCGTATTAAGTAGTTGGTATCTGGTTTTTGTAGGTATAATGGACAAACTTCTGCAGGGATTAAGGCAGCCGTAGATATACATCACAGAGCCTGCTACGAACTCTATGCAGATGTATTGTTGGTAAGGAACTTCATTTTTCATGGTTTAAAACTTAAAATGGAAACTGTACTTGTAATACTAATAATCCTGTCATAAAGGGGGAGCAACTCTAATTTTAATGGGGAAAAGAAATTTGTCAATCAGGGGGAACAACTCTAATTTTAATGGGGAAAAAAAATTGTCAATCAGGGGGAACAACTGCAATTTTGATGAGGAAATCGAATGTGCAAATAACATGGAACAACTCATATCATAGTGAGGAAAACAAGTTTGTCAATAAGGTGGAAAAACTCTTATTTCAGTTTGAAAAATAAATCTGAAAATAAGGGCAACAACTCTTTTTATAAGTGAGAATAATTCTAATTCGAGGGAGGGGAACAATTTTGTCAGTAATGAGGAACATTGCTGTCAGTAGAGGCAGATAAATCATTCATCAGTGATGAAAAAAAATAACAGGGGAAAATTTTGTCAAAGAGTGGGAACAACTTTATCATTTTAAGGAAAACTAATCTTTCAGTATTTGGAAACAACTCTGAATTCAGTGACACCAAGCCATGTTTCAGGTAGTGATACAGCTCTTAAAGATGGCAAATGTTTTGTGTTTTCAGGTTACAAATGCTATACGTAACTCGCTTCAGTGTAATGCAGCTGGACATTCAGACGGTCCAATGGGGATCAGTATGTCGCTGACTCCGGCCACCTCTGGTCACATGATTTCTAAATCAGCTATCACAAATGCCTCCTTCAGGGCACGCAAACTGCCAGGTAAGGCAACTCTGATGTGTACGAAATTACAGTGAATTCCTGTTAATGTCATGTTCATTATGACAAATTAGAAGTTAGGTTTAGGAAATTTAACTGTGGTATGTTTTGAATCTTTTCACAGATTTTGAATTTTACGAAGATTTTGTCATCGAGGATCTTATGCTTCTGTATTAAATATTTGGACTAAATTTAAATGATGTATTTTGGAAAAGTATATGAAATTTTAATCTCTACAACATTTCTAATTTGATAATAATACACACCTTCTGAATTCAGTAGTGTTGAAGGATGACGATTCTGAAATATCTCAATTCTTATTTTCCTGTCCTCTACAACAAGAAAGATGTGTAGAAAAATAAAAAGGAGCTTATTTGATATTCAAAAAGAAATTTCTAAAATTGTAAAATAAATGATATTCAAATCTTAAATGTTCGTATCTGTCATGAATGAAACATTACTGTGCCTTAACGTCGTGTCATTGATCAGAATTAGCAGTGAGTAATATTACCTGAGGTAATATTTAATAGTATGCTATAAGTATAGCTGTTTATTTTTTGTACAGAGGATATAAGTATACCAACTACAGAGGAAGGAATAAAACTGCAGACTATTGAGGAAGATGGAGATGTGCATAAGCCTGTACTCAAGTTATCAAAGTCAGGAAAACTCTCGGCAGCATTTGGAAAAAAGGGAGAAAAGTTCAAATTAAAAGATTCCAAGAAAGAAGGGGACATTACTCCCCGACAGAACGGTGACTCTGTTGACAGTGTTCAAGTAGGGGTTGTGAAAAATAGCTCTCGATCCATTGTAGATAATATAGAAATGCAGAAATTTTCGACTCATGAAGACTTGGAGGAGAAAACAAGCAGCAGCGGGGGTAGTAGTATTCTTCATATGGCTAAATTAAAAACAACAAGCGCACTAGGACTTACAAAGGAACTGAAAAATAAACATTCTCGAAATCCATCTTCTTCATCTGTGAATACGGAGAATTATAGTACAGATTTATAGAATGACTCTAGCTACTAGTTTGTTTTAATGATTTTGCAGTAAGGTTCATGATGTAGGAAGAATTTAATATTTTTTCAAGGCTATGGAGAAGTTTTGTATAATTATTGTGATAGAATCTTGTTTATGTTAGGACAGTAACTCTATTTATAGGATAGTAAAATTTAGTGAAAAGTTTCAATATAACTTTAAATTTGGCAGGGTCCAACTGTGGAACAAATTTTGAAATTTGATACGTTGACTTTCAGTACATGTTGAAATATTTCAAATAATTGGTAGCAATGATATGAAAAACTCTTTGAGAGACTCCTTGTAGCTAAGGCCTCAGAGACTGGAATTCTTTGAGAGCCTCCCTTTAGCTAAGGCCTCAGAGACTGGAATTCTTTGAGAGCCTCCCTTTAGGCAAGTCCTCAGAGACTGGAACTCCTTGAGAGCCTCCCTTTAGGCAAGTCCTCAGAGACTGGAACTCCTTGAGAGCCTTCCTTTAGCTAAGGCCTCAAAGACTGGAATTCTTTGAGAGCCTCCCTTTAGGCAAGTCCTCAGAGACTGGAACTCCTTGAGAGCCTCCCTTTAGGCAAGTCCTCAGAGACTGGAACTCCTTGAGAGCCTCCCTTTAGGCAAGTCCTCAGAGACTGGAACTCCTTGAGAGCCTCCCTTTAGCTAAGGCCTCAAAGACTGGAATTCTTTGAGAGACTCCCTTTAGCTAAGGCCTCAAAGACTGGAATTCTTTGAGAGCCTCCCTTTAGGCAAGTGACATTTCCTTAAGGCAAGGTCACAATAGAGAGGGGAGACTCTCTTAGGTCAAGAGACTCTATTTCTTTCAAAGTTGTTTATATATATATATAAATCTCAAGGAGTAGTGTTTTACAGTAGTAAGTTAGTTTGATTAAACAACATTAAGATAAACAGTGATGTATAAATAGCTTTTAGTATTTATTGATTTTGAATGACAGAAGACATAGTAAAGTATGACTTTTGTTAACCGAGACTGCCACACTAGATTCTAAGTTAGATCAGCACAAGATTACAGCAGACCAATTAATGCTGTATATTTCAGACCTTAAATGGTGTGAATTACCTCAAATTACAAAATAAAGATATGGTGCTGAGTGCCGTAAAAAAATTGTGCTGATGGAGTTAAGGAGTCATGCTAGCTTTATATATAGATAGCAAATGTCACTGAGGCATACCTATGATCAACAAAATGATTGGGACAGTCATACCTGTCATTAGAAGTTTGAACGGGACACGTATACTTGTCATTAGAAGTTTGAACGGGACACGTATACCTGTCATTAGAAGTTTGAACGGGACACGTATACTTGTCATTAGCAGTTTGAACAGGACACGTATACCTGTCATTAGAAGTTTGAACGGGACACGTATACCTGTCATTAGAAGTTTGAACGGGACATGTATACCTGTCATTAGAAGTTTGAACGGGACACGTATACCTGTCATTAGCAGTTTGAACGGGACACGTATACCTGTCATTAGCAGTTTGAACATGACACGTATACCTGTCATGAGAAGTTTGAACGGGACACGTATACCTGTCATTAGAAGTTTGAACGGGACACGTATACCTGTCATTAGCAGTTTGAACATGACACGTATACCTGTCATTAGAAGTTTGAACGGGACACGTATACCTGTCATTAGAAGTTTGAACGGGACACGTATACCTGTCATTAGCAGTTTGAACATGACGCGTATACCTGTCATTAGAAGTTTGAACGGGACACGTATACCTGTCATTAGAAGTTTGAACGGGACACGTATACCTGTCATTAGCAGTTTGAACGGGACACGTATACCTGTCATTAGCAGTTTGAACGGGACAGGCCCAACTGTCATTAGCAGTTTGAACGGGACAGGCATACCTGTCATTAGCAGTTTGAATGGGACAGGCATACCTGTCATTAGCAGTTTGAACGGGACAGGCATACCTGTCATTAGCAGTTTGAACGGGACAGGCATACCTGTCATTAGCAGTTTGAACGGGACAGGCATACCTGTCATTAGCAGTTTGAACGGGACAGGCATACCTGTCATTAGCAGTTTGAACGGGACAGGCATACCTGTCATTAGCAGTTTGAACGGGACAGGCATACCTGTCATTAGCAGTTTGAACGGGACAGGCATACCTGTCATTAGCAGTTTGAACGGGACAGGCATACCTATGATCAACAGTTTGATCAGGACACATATCTTATGTTATAAATGATACATGCCGTTGCCTTTATATTTTCTCCCAACTGCTGGAGTTGCTTCCCTTCTTCTGAACTTTCTGATGATATATACGGTTTTCTGAATTGCATATCTTTTAGCTCTTATTTATATTTGAGTTTAAATGCAGAATTTTAGTGTAATTTAATTGATGTTTAATGAAGTTTTAATGTCTTTTAAAAAATTATTTAATGATCATGACTTAACGCTGACAAAATCAAGCTAGAAAGGGAGACAACTGATACAAATAACTGAAGCAGGACCTGTGTGTTCAATCTTCCTTTCAGTTATAAACCAAACATTTCGTGAACTTTTCATTTTGTGGAATTTTAACATTGGATGCAACAAAGAGTATTATAATAACTGTTAAGGAATTATCTGTGAGGCTGTACTAATCAGTGTACTATAGGGGTATTCGACTGCGCAATGTATGACATTAATAAAAGTCAGTAAACTATGAGGTTTCTAATGTAGATTTTCATTTTTTGTCTTATTGTCTGAATTTTTTGAGCACACAAAAAATAACAAACATACACATAAAATCAGTTCTAATGGAAGTGAAAACAATTTATGAGCTGATACCAGCAAAATGGTCTAAATGATTTGTCCAATGAAATTGTACAGGATTTATTCCCATCAAATACAACAGAATATTGATTTCTAATGTGTTGTCTTGAAATTTTAAAATTGAGAAAAAAAACAGATGCAAGTTTTTTTGTATATATATACATTCCAACTTAATATTTCAAGAGTGCTTTACCACTGTAAACTAAAACATGCACCACATTTGCATGTATCAAGCTATTACAGGGAGAATACAAATCTCACATTACAGGCATATAAAGGATGATTTTTTTTTAATTTTCAGTCATTTCTACTTTGATGTAAACGATTTGTATTCTTGTTTCAGTATATTTGTGGTTACAGTTGTTGATATACAGGGTTCTACTTCATTGTGTAAAAAATATAAAAGATATCAATACTGGGCTGATCATAGACCTCAGCTTGGACAAAAATCAAATTTGATTTTATTTTTATTCGTCAAATTCATGTGTAAATATCCCAAAGTCTTTACAAATACGGTATATGTGGTAATGTAGTATCTGTTAGGAAATTAATTGTTTATTGTATTAACTTTGCAAAATTTAGTAAATATTTGATTTTCTTAGAGGAAGATTTAACAAAACCCAATTCGTTTTGGTATATAGAATACAAAGCTATCATGTCCTTTTTGGCTGTAGAGATATTACATTCTGTACCAACCCAAAATATCAGTTGGTTAATAGAAATCATGTTTTATTAGTATATTATGGATAAATGTTATCAGTTTATAGATACAGCCAAGTTGATGGGTAGGACCATGACTACAAGGCAAAACTTACTCCATTGATTTGGAATCCTATGCATCTTATTATAGGTTTTCATATATACTGTCTTGCTATTCAAAATAACTAGTATTTAAAAGCTCCAGAATAAGGTGATTCATTTTAACTTGGACAAGGTTTGTTTTATTCATGGTGTGTATGTGTGATTTTACATATTATAGATTTGGGTAGGGTGTCATCGTGACTGACCAGGGATGTCAATGTTTAGCTTGTGTGTTTCTCGTAATAAAGATGTCTATTTCTTCTACATGTGTGTTGACTTTTTATACGCCGCCAGAGGTGGTCGTATATTGTCGTCATCTTCTGTCTGTCCATCCGTACGTCCGTCCGTATGTCCATTTCTTGTGAACGCAAAACCTCCTTAACTAATCATCAGATTTTCATGAAACTTGCTCAATGTCACTACTACAATGGGTAGATGTGCATGAAGGGGCAATTTTACGGTTCATTGATTTTTGTAAGATTTATGCCATTTTCAACTTTGTATCTGTAGCTTGCTCTTAGTGGAGCTTTGTGAACGCAACTCCTCCTAAACCAATCATCAGATTTTCATAAAACTTGCTCGATGTCACAACTACAATAGGTAGATGTGCATGAAGGGGTGATTTTACGGTTAATTGATTTTTGTAAGATTAATGCCATTTTATCTTGATCTTTATATTTTGTGGTGGCATATATTGTGTCCACAGCACTCTTGTTATATTTGTTATACAGGACTTTTTTCCTGTGTGTGTAACCCTGGTAAATACTAGCATCAATATACCGCTCGGAATATATGGTGCCCATGTAGGTACTCAGGAATAATGCTTAGCCATGCCCCACACCAGCATTGCTTGTAACCCCCGGAAACTTGAGGACGAGTTATTTCCTGGAGGGAGAGTATATAACCCTGGTAAATACTAGCTGCAATATACCGCTCGGCTAGAGAGAACTTCTCTTTAGCTCAATCGGTTGAGTGTCAGACTAGTAAGCCAAGGGTTCTGGGTTTGAATCCTGGCTGAAGCATTGAAATAAATAATGACCTTTGTTACTTGGTGTATCTTCAAATTGTCCTATGTTCATGGTGTTTTTGTTAACAATTCTTGTTATTGCTTTCTTGAGAGGTCCTGGATGCATATTGGTTGTGAATTACCCATTTTTGGGACAGCAAACAGATGGAGCGGTCCTTAGACACAGTGCTGTACATAAGGTGATGGGAGATACCTAGGCATCGATGCCCTTAGTGATGCAGAAGGACGAATAAGGAAGTTGCCTAAGATCTAGTACTACAGACTGTGACAACAACTGGCAGATGAGAGAGTCGACCAGCCCCTGGTTCAGCCTGATCCACCTAGCTAGCACATCTGGAGGATAACTTGTAAAATGTAAAATCGTCTAAAGCAGAAGTGACTGTCCAGCTTAAGATTA